TAAATGTTTTATTAAATTTTTATTTAATTTAATGGATACGAACAATATTCACTCTATTATTTATATTGTTGCAAAATTTTATTACACAAATTTATTACATAAATATATATAATTACATATGGGATATATTTTTAATATAGTTTTGTATAGTTATATATGTAATCATTTATGTGTAAAATTATATATGAAACATGTTTTACCGGGAAAGGGAAAGATATTAAAAAGAGTTGGAACATAGAAATGGAGATATGGAGATAAATATAATTAATACTTAGATAAAACGAGTTATTAAAGGATAAATGTTTAAATGTTTAAACTCATTGCAGTAAACAGGCTCACTGCAAGCAGGTGTGCAAGTTGTGCATTGCATAAAGGTGTATTAATAAGGGGGAGGACGATAAATTAAGTTCTAAAAATCCATTTTCCATTCCTAACACTAATTCCATGTACTTTCTATCAGATTTAATTTCTTCCGAAATAAGTACTAAGTACTGTAAACCTTTTCTCTAACGTTAAAGGAATGACAAATACTCAGGTGACAGTCGATTTATCCCATTGTCTTTATTTCTAAAAAATAAAAGTTCTGTCACTTGTGCGTAAGACCTCACTCCATCTTCGCGTCATTAAGATAGTTGTATCGCAAAATGCGACTTTTCTTAAAATTTGTTTGAAACTTTTACTATTTGAAGATAATGATATTCTCTATACATACGTATCATTGAGGAGGGAGAGGGGAGGATAACCAGGCATGTTCAAAAGATAATTGCATTTGAAGATATTTTAATATGTGCTAGACAAGGAGCGACAGTACATTTTATAGCGCAAAAACGGTTTAGAAATTCGCTAAAAAACTAAAGGATTATAGATTAATATAATACGAATTTATATATCGAGTTTATTAATATATCGAAGAAAACGAGGGATAATCAAACAAGTATTAATTATAAAACCTTAGAAAGTTGCTTTACTACTTCACTAATCCACTTATCAACTCATTCTTAAATACCGGCGCACAATGGGGAATTAAAAATTACTGTGGGAAATTAAAAATCACTGTAGGGAATTAAAAATTACTGTGGGGAAATAAAAATTATTGTTCAAAAATTGCGATTTGCAGCAATTTTTGAACAGTAATTTTTTTTCATCACTGAATGCCCTCATACACTAACGTTTCAGGCGATTGCTTCCCCACAGGCCGCTCCTATGTGGTACAATCACCTTAAAAGGGATACGCTCCTGTTCAGTTAGTATTAGCATTTTAAGTAAATATTTTACAATCAAGATAACACAGGATATACCTTAGGTAATGCTAATGCCGATATTGTAACTTTCAAATCTTATAACTCGAAAAGTATGATTAAAAAGAAGCTTTATTGTATTGTTTTTAAAAGCTCTTGACACTAGTTATTAGATTCTGAAATAAAAATAGGGTATTTCATTAAAAAAAAATTGATTTGATTTTGACCTGACTTTGGTGGCGCCATCCAAGGCAAATTATGATCAGTAAATAGATAATTTTAAGCCTTAAAATTTTTGTGTATAAAATATTTTTCTTAGAAATGTTTACTTTCCAGATATTTAAGGAACTTTTTATACACTCTTACACACGCGCGCGCACACACACACACACACACACACACAAAACGTCATATATTATATACATATATAGAAAGTCAAAATTAAAAGTTAATGAACATGTACTTTTAACAATAAGGAAAATTATTGGATTAGTGCAAAAGTTCGTACCCGATTTATTATTCAAATTTCAGCAACTATTTTTGCTATTTAAAAATAAAATAAAATCTAAATCTTGCTCTATCTGTTAATCAATTCCGTGAAAATGAAAGTTGGAAAGTTGGAATTGATTAACGTTTCAATATAAAATTTTTCATTTGTAAGCTTCAATATTAGTTAAAACTAAAGGTGACTCACTGTGTCTGATACTGACTGGGCAAAATATCGAGAACTAGTTTTTGAAAAATTCGTAGTAATGTTTGCGATATAGTTTGTGATTTGTGATCAGGGTGAACATCCCTATTTTCGGGATAATTAATTAAAATCTTAAAGTTTTGATAAATTAGTTTTTCATATTCTCTATTTCGATATTTCCATCATTTCCTTATTTTCGTTTATTTTTTTTTTCTTTCACTCTTTTTGAGTTTAATTCTGGTATTTAAATTTTCGAGATAGGGGAGCTCACCATGGATAGGATAATTTTTTATTCACAGTTTATTTATGTTTGTGTTGTCTCTGAGGAGAGCTTAAAAGTGAGCCGAACATGTAAGCGCGTTTTAATGAATAAAGAAGTTTTACACTTCATAGATATATTATTTGCACGACGTCTTCTGCGTTTGGCTCCTGCCCGTATCCTTTCCAGGTCTTTGATTTATAAGGAGTCTTGGTTAATTTGATTTGTTATACGGATTCAAAATATTCATTTTATTTAATTTGCAACAACTCAGTAACAAAATATCGTAGGAACATTTTTTAAAAAACGATTTTGTAGACAAGGCTTCAAGCTTTTATGATAAAGTCGAAAATTTTCTTAAATTTTTTTGGGCACGCTACAGACTTATAAAGTGAAAAAAAATTTTTTAATTTTTTTCAGCTCATAGTTTTCTATACGTAAAAATTACAAAACTTATATAAATTCAAAAAATATAGTAACCATTCAAAAGTAGAGATTTCAAGTTTTAAAACCCTTTTTTTAAATTTAAATTTCGTTTATTTTTAACAAAATTGCAGCTGTTTGTATAAATCGGGCACGAATTTTTT